TTCTGATATTTGGGAAAATATAGACAATGAAAAGTTGAAACAACTGCCAGATGTTTTTCGTGCCAATAAAGTGACGGCCTGGAGCTGAAAAAAATACCAACATTGAACTAAGAGGCTCGCATGTTCCCCGGATGTCAACTTGTTAGAAAACGCGTATATTTTTTTTCAAAAAATTGAAAATTAACTGAAAAACATGGAGTGTAGTTTTAAAAACCTTCAAACCACTGTCACTTCCAATAACAATATTGAATCTGTTTATAAGTCATTTCCGAAGCTAGCTCATCTGGCTTATAAATATTCATGTTAAATATTATTTTTCTTTGCAATAACTTATTTGTTTTTTTTTTGGCTGTCCGTACTATTGAACAGGTTTTGATACTTGATTAGTTTTCTAATTGGTAGTTCGACAGAAACCATTTAAAACAAAACATTTTAAACTTTTTACCAAACGAAAAGAGTATTTATAGTATTTCATATTTTCGCATTTCAAAACAACAACTGAGTTTTAAAAAAAAATTCTTGGATTCAAAACGGCTTTTTTCAAACCGTAGTTGAACTTTAGTTCTGTAGGTCTCAGTAGAAATAGTATACTTAGTTCTTTGACCAGTGCATTCAATAAAATGCTGCTCTTTTTTCGTTTTTGAAAATAAGTAAAATGTTAAGACAAAATTTTAATAAATATTAAGACCAAATAAAAAACAATGAGAGCCGTTTTCTGGGCAAGTTTCACGGAAAATGCTGACCACAATAAGAAATAATTTTAATTTTTATTTTCAAATTGCGTCGTTTTTTTGAACGAGGCCAGCCGAAGCCGAAGGGATCTAAAGCAAAGACTAGAAATTTGGTAGTGACAGTAAGTTTCTTCCTTTCCACAACAGTTTTCTTCATGAAAAAATACAGAAAAATGCTCGATTTTTCCAGTTTAATTCCCTAGAAGGCGCCAAAAAAGTTTTAAATGTGCTAAACTAGTTGGAGTACAATTAAGTTTTCAAGACTTAACTTGATTTATCAGCTTGCTAATTGATGCCTTTTGTAGACTATGGTTATACTGCTCGCTCGCTTCATTCGCTCAAAATTGGAATAAAAATCAAAAACTTCAAATCTCAACAAAGAGACAACTATTTGGAAACTTAGTTGTTTTTTGGCGCCTAATTTTGCGCGAAAAACAAAAAAGGAAAAAAGTAAATCAACCCGAAAACAAAATTCCTCTCTTTTTTCAGAGGTCGGAAACAATTAGGAAAAATACATTTTTGGTACAATTTTACTAATATTTTTAAGTTGGGTAAATAATGTAATAACAGGCTATATTTTAGACAACTTGATAGTACAATTTTTGCGCTATTTTGAAACAAAAAAAAACAGCTCAAAAATTTTTTTCCATTGTGATTTTTAACTTCTTTGTTTGCTAATTTAGCTATTTTTTTTAAACACCCTAAAGTCCGTATTAAGACTGACAAAATGATGATATGATTAAAAAACTAGTTTAAAGTCAATACAGCTTCCGACAACAACCAATTAAAAATTTTGATGATCTTGATCTTAGGATAAGCATGGTTGATGCAAGCGTTTTATTTGAAGTAGCTGGTTTTAGGCGTGTGCGAAACAATCACCAAATAACAACCCAACTAATCATTTAAAGTTTTTGGTAAGTTTGTTCGAAAATTGTAAACGACTTTTCAATTTGAAATGTCAACTTTGGTTGATTCTGCTACTTTCTCACTAGTTTTTTATTAGTTTTTTTTGTATTTACCTCAAGCTAAATTTGATTGCATTTTTTGTTTTTTTTTGTCAAATTGTCAAAAGTGAACCATGTTTATATGCTTTAATATTTTTTGTTCAACGAACACTTTTTGAAAAACGATTGTTTTTGTCTAATCGGAGTTTGTATCTTTGTCACGAAAATTCAATTAACTAAATCGCTCTGAAAGTTTAGCTGGTAAACTTTTGAGTTTAGCAAGAACTATTGATACGATGTTTTTTTTTAAATCTATTTTTCTTCATTCTTCATTCTTCACTAAGAATCGCAAGACCGATTCGATTTATACAACAAGTCTTATCCTTGCTTCTTAATACTGAACCATTTAAAATTGAAAAAATAAGTGACAAGAAAAACTGGTATAAGCTTTTTGCATTTTAGTCTGAATTCAACTTTTTTTTGGCTAGATTTAAGGGCCTTATAAGCGTTATAATAACATCTGACCTGTTTCCAATTAGGTTTTGAAGTTTGATTTAGCTCTTTCTTAGCAACAATTTTTTTTAAAGTCACAAAAAAGATGCAAATTTTTTTGATTTTCGTTTTCAACTAATTATTTGAGAAAATAACTCTGAAATTAAATCTAGAGGCTTTTTTCTTTTGATACATAAGCTGTCGTTTTCACCTCGGACAAAAAATGACACAAGTTAAAAATCAAAAGAACATGATTTTTTTGGAGATTTTTTATTCAAAGTCGTGGGAAATTTTTGTGCTGCTTGCACATAAACCATCTATTTTTGTTATTATTCATCATTTTTTACTTTTTTGTTTACAGAGGTTTTTTTTCTGCTGCACACGATAAATTGCAAGTGTTATTTTGTGATTGGAGACATTTTATAAAAATGAAAATGAAAATCGTTGAAAAAAGTAGTGTAGACTTTCTCAGGTTTTTCCCTGCCTCAGGTCAAATGAAAAGCATTTTTCTATTCTTATCTGGATTGGTGATAACTGACTACTGACTTCACATTGGGGAAAAAGAATACAATAATAGTTTTCTTATTCAGTGCGGTTTCGCTCAACCAGTTAAGCAGAACTGGTAACTAACTTGATTTAGTCGCGTAGTTGCCTGACAATTAGATACCCCCAATTTTTGTTCCATTCTTGGAGTGGGGAGAAACTATGAAATTGTTTTTTTTTTCAAGCAAGGGCTGTTAAAAATGGCATCAGGTGAAATTAAGTAATTTATCATATAAATTTTTTCATTCCTCATTCAAAATTTGTAGGACGTTTTTTCTTTTTTTTTACCCTTGAAATTGGCACGGGTGATGCAACGTGGTACTAGATTTTTCCCCTAAAAGAATTTTGCTTGGGTTAAAATGTTTTCCGTGTTTCAACTGGCTTGATAAAATTTCGATCTCAATTCAATCAGCCAGAGCATCTGCCGGTGATATGTTACAATAGGTGGTAATTTTAAGTGTAGTGCATGTATTAAATTTGAGAACTATAATGCATAATATAGTCATTTCATTTTCAATCAATTATATTACTACTAAGATAGTTTTTGTAAATACATTACTCTGCCAGATGAAATGCTATTCAAAAGTTCAAAATTTACACTTTTTTTGGCAAAAAGTTTGGCTTTTGATACAAATTATAAACAATATGCGAAGTATAAAAAAAAGCGATCCAGCTATTCAAATGGAACCTACCACCTATTGTAATATATCACCCATCTGCCGTAGATGTAAGAGACCTGTTTTTTTGTAAGCTAGAAATTTTCTGCTTTTTTGGCTTATTTTTGTCCACTGAATTTCCTTTTAAAGACTCCTTTTAAAGACTTTCTTCTGAATTCTTAAATGCCATTTCTAAAAACTCATTGGTGGAAGCAACGGAGCTATTGGATTTTTTGAGATTTTTTTGTGTATGAAATTTTAAAAGAAAATTTACTGAATTTTACTGCATTCTTTGTAGAAAAAGAATTATAAAACCTTTAATTCCACCAAAAACGTATGCAAAGTTATGCGACCATTATGATTGCGGTTAGCAGCTGTTATCAATTGGGAAGATTCTTTTTCTTGTAAACAATTTATGGGCAACAGAATCACTGAACTATTTTCTCAAATCAGCCGTTCGGTCAACAAGCTGGAAAAACGTTGATCATGTCTACATTTCATATAGCTTTTCTATTCAAACAATCTTTTTTATGTTGCTTCCTCTTCTCTTTCTTATTTGTTTACTCGGCCTTAAAATTTTTTGCTTATACCGCTGATTGACCTAATATTGCTCCGTTATACGAGCGAAAAAAGTTTCTTATGCTTGTGAGTTTTTCGAGGGGGGAATATATTATTTTCAGAAGTTTTTTTCTGAAATTTTTTGGCTGTGCATTACGTGCGTCTCTTCTATAATTGTTGGGTTTTAAATTTTGTTTCCATAAAATTTTAATTTTTCTTCTAAATACTGCCCAGGACAAATTGAGACAAGGTATAAAACTTTAGTAGGTTTAGCTGTTATCGACATTTCCATTTTTTCCGACCTAGCGGCTTTCGTCTCACAACATGTTTGCTTCACTCGCCGCTGTGAAGTTAATGCTTCGAAATTTTGGCCTTTCGATCGGCGCTTGGCATATAGAGTTTATCACCAGGCGGAGGGAAGGTTTAAACAACCCTCAAGGAAACTCGATAAAAAAACCTCTAATAAAAAACCCATTTTTAAACTAAGATTTGGTCATCAATCATCTCGATTAACCATTGAAAGCACTAAAGGAACAAGTATAATCTTCACAGTTTTTCTGGAAAAACAGCTAAACTGTGCAATTAAGACCTCCCTGGCAGAAATCACTTTTAATGTTTTTAATTTCCTAAAAGCAAATAGTTTTATTACCAGCATACAAAAATCCAAAATCGAGAGCTGAGCAATTAACGCGACAAAAACGAAACAAGGATAGCAAATTGGTGTGCAAGTAACCCAAAAACCTAACCTCTTAAAAAAACTTAAAAAAAGTACTCGAAGTGAAGTTTTTTCAAAAACTGCTTCTTTATACATTCAATGCTTCACCTTCAAGCTGGATTTTTGGAACGAGTTTTGCTCAAATCAGCAGATAAGTATCATGTTTCACGATATTTTTCAGATAAAGCTGAATTTAAAGGACTATCTAAAAACCCCTCTACGTATGCTCTTTATACTCTTGGAGCTTAAATGAGCCTATTTTTTTCACAACAATTTTTTAAACTTGAAGTTGAAATTCGGTGCGAGAATTTTCCATATTATGGCTTTTAATGTTAAAAACAGCAAAATATAGGTCGCTGACCTTTGGAGGTACTTGGAAGAACATCAAATTCGCTACCAATCTCCGGAAACTCAATAGAATAGGAGATTGCGAGGTTGCTTGCATTGTTGTCATCTAAAGGTGTTTCCAAATCCTGCGACGAATTACGCGAGCTGCTTCTATTACTTTTACCATCAATGGGTCTGATTTCACTAGTTCGCTCGTTTGGTGATGCAATAATTTGCATCGACCTAATCTGGGGAAATTTCTCGATTATTTGTTCAACAGGGTCTTCATTGAATAAAAAACCCATCATTTCATGCTTGCTGAGAGTTTGTAGAAGAATTGAAGACCATTTTATAGTTGACCGAGATCTGTCTGAGTTTTTGCTCCGTTTTTCAGAAAGCAGAATTGCGTGAGCTTCCAAAAAGGAGTCACAAATCGAGATTATTCCATACTTTACGAATTCTGTGGCCGCTCTATGGTTCCGAGCAAAAATTGACAGAGCTTCTAAAATTTCATCGGACCGATATCCATCAAATGTCAAAGTGTTAGATGAACTTAAAATGTTTTGAAGGACTTGTTTGAACAGGTAATCTATGTTTTGTTTTTGGAGTTCCATTAAATGGTGGTCTGCTTCTGAACTCACGTCCACTGCATAGGCCAGGCACAAAAGAGCAGTTATCTTTGTCCTATTGTTTTGGGTGTTCATCAGATCTCTTAGGGCATGATTGAGACTGTTTCGACGAAGGTCATTTCGCAGTTCAGGACAATTGTAAAGAGTTTTGCCTAGAATGATACAAAAACTCTGCACGTAATCGTTCGTTGTTTGCTGATCTGAATCGGCGGCCAGGGTTTCGGCTTGAAAGGCCAGATTACTCTCGAGGTTTGAAGCAAGTAAATCAAAGATTTTGTTGTCGACAACACTTTTGCAGTAATCTTTACTTTGGTCCGTGAAACTGACATTCAAACTCAACACTATCTTTTTAATAGCTTCAGATCGACTTCTGCATAATAAGTCTCTAGAAAGGTCAACAAATCCCCAGTTAACCATCTCCATACAAAACTCATCTTGATTCAATTTGCTTCCCGTTTCGCATACTGTGTCAAATGTTTCTCTTATTCGCATCAACCCCGAAACTGTAGTCATCTGGTCCTCGTGATCATCCAAGACTACAAGAGCATCCCTGGCCGCGAATAGCCAGTCTTCACAATGAGTCATTTGTAACACACCCACAATGAAAATGAAAACCAGATTAGAACCAATGTAATGTTGTAGATTTTCAAACAGTTGTTTTAGCAGTAAAGAAAACAGAATCTTTCATAATGCTCGTGTCAAAGCTTTGGCTACGCGTTCAATCATGTTGTTATACCCTCAGCCGTTAGGTGAGGTATAAACTGTATAATTTCGATGTTCAAAGTCTATGCTTAATCGCTAACTAAGAATTGGAATATGAAGAGATAGAGAGAGCAACTTAAATTCAGTTTGGAACGTTAAGTCTGGTCGACGCTGACCTCGAAGCATTTGAGATACGGCGTTTCATAATAACTAATACATATGTTGTTAGGTATAGATAGATACTTATTTAATACGCAGACTTCTATATGTATTATGTAATCAGTTAGGTTTATAATATGTAAACATTACCAACTGGTAGTTTTAGCACCTAATTGTACATTGTTTATAAAGGGATGTTTTACTACAATATCCGTATGGATAACATTTCCCTCCTTGCGAGAAATTGAGTTTTCAATTTAAGGATTTTCAAGATCCTCCGCCTGGCTTGTGGACTTTTGTGTATCTCCTTCTTTTTCCCTCTGAAAGGTCATGGAATTTCCTCTGATCGGGCTGATCGATTGCAGGAAATTCATAGCGTCCTCAAAGTCTTTACTGAAGGAGTCCTCTGTGATCTTTTGTTTGTCTAGTATGTAACGTGAGCTTGTGGTTCTTGGTGGTGTAGCGGTTGTGGTTGTTTCGCGGGCGTTTTCAGGCGTATCGTTACTCATAAGAACTTCTGTACACACTATTTCCTCTGACGTTGTCACTGATGGCGATAGGCATACTGTGGTCTCTTTGTCTCTCGTGGTTTGTGCGTCGCCTATGTCGATGGTATTGGAGGTGTTAGGTTCCTTTGATGTAATGTCCTCCGTATTTGCATGTTCGATGGTTGCTACCATGCCTGACATATCTGTATTGGTAGATATGTTACCAATTGGAATTGCGTTGCCGAATTTTCCGGCTAACGTGCTTGTTCGTGCTCGCGTCGATCTTCGAATTTCCGGCGAGTTTGTTTCCGGTGTGGATTTTCGATCAATTCGTTTGGCTGCGGGTTGTTTACTTGGAGATGGGGTTTTATGGTCGAGCTCTATATCCGATGAAAGTGAAATCGAGGTGTCACAGTCGAATTCGATCGTTGCGGGGTCGGCTTTAGCTTTTTTCGATTTTGCCGGGAGGCGTTGCGTTGCTGGTTTGCTGCTGTTGCTGGCATTCTTCTGATTTCTTGATGTAAATGTTGATAATAACTTTTGTGGGCCGAGAGCTCGTCTGTTGAGTGTTTGTTGTAGGACTTCCTGAGTGGATTTTGGAGGTGGTTTTCGGGGACTTGTCGATGATTTGTCTTCTGGTTTCTTTTGTGCCCCCATGCTAGGTGACTTTGGTCCTAAAATACGCGGTTTAGCTCTTGGTAGGTGTTTATAAGCGACAAAGTCCTTTAGTGCCGCTGGTCTACATTTACCATAGACTCTTGGATCCGGTATGAATGCAAGACCGTCGTGTCTAATTAACCTAGGTTGCTTCCCGTCTTCCCTTATCCACGCAGTATGTGGGGAGTAATTCAATATTGCGCCATTTTCAATAATTTTGAATTGTGCCCCGAATGTTCCCGCATTTTTAGTTTTTCTCGCTATTGTTCCCGTTTTCCTAGCGACCTGTTCTAGACGTAGTCCTGTTTTAGGATCTATGGTATGTGCTGGACTTTTAAAACGGTCCTTCAGGAATACTAACGGAGCTCTGCGTAGATTTTCCTTTTCTTGTTTTGTTAGGAGTCTTATGGGGTTACGTGTTCTTAAGTTTTCCAAGTTATTAGATTTTTCTTTTAGGAAAGCTTCCTGGAGTGATCTGGCTTCATAAGGTTTGTTTGATAAAGGTAGATGCGCACCTATTGGGAATTTCTGGAGTAGCCTCCGGTCGAATTCCTCATCACTACTGTCGAGTGTTACTGCATCCTTGTGTGTGCGTACATCCGGTTGGTGGTGTGCGCGTCGTTTTCCAGATGTTGTGGCTGTGTCCTGATGAGCCTTGGTTGTGCTTTGTTCCGCGTTGTTTTTTTCTGGTGAAGCCGGGTTGAACGTCGGTTCTGGCACATATTGGTAATCGGATGTGGGCTTCTGCTTGTATTTGAGATCCAACTCGTCCTCGCTGTTGACTTCTCTGTTCCACATTGTTTCCGCCGACAACGCTGGTTTCGTTAGTACTTTTTCGTCTAAACATGACAGTTTCGTATTTTCCCACGAAAGGTTTGACAATTTTGACGATGTGCTAAGATTACTTAGGGGTGTATTAGCTTTTCTACCATAGTGAGATTCAAATGGTGTAACTTTTGTAGAAGTGTTAGGTGTAATACGGAGTGTTTTTATTAATTCAGCCACGTCTGATGCTAATTTATACGGACGATTTGATTTATCTATCTTCATAATTGCTAATCGCGATTTTAATGTCCGTATGAGCCTTTCGACCATACCTATAGCTCGATGGTCGTCCACCGGTGCGAAAATCAGTTTTATGTTATGCGCTTTACAATAAATGAGGAACTTTTTGGCCCTGAAACCTTGTGCTTGGTCGCGTCTGATCGCACGGGGTACGCCCTGGTTGACTATGTGGTTTTGCATAAAGTGGATGATTGTATCCGCTTTGTTATTGGTAACAACTTTTGCGTACGGAAAACGTGAGAAGCGATCGACACCCACCAATATGTAAACTTCCTTATCGTTTTCATCCGGTAAGGGTCCTGCAAAATCCAATTGGATTTCTTCATTCGGTTCTACCACCGCGTCCAATGTTGTGTAGTGTTGTTTACCCGAGATAACTTTAAAGTTCTTACCCTTTTCCCGGCAGTTTTTGCAGTTTTGAGCAGTTGCCACAATGTCTCGGTGGAGGTACGGATACCACACATGTCTTCCAGCCTCTAGCATTCCACCTTGTCCTGGATGTGTGAGGTGTAATGCATCCATTAGTGTGGGTCTGAGCTGTTTCGGTATGACGACGCGGTCGTCGTAGAGCAAGATATTTTCTCTGACTGATAGCCGATGTCTCACATTATAAAAGTAAGGACCGTAGCAGCTTTTGATCGAATCCCATTTCTCCTGTTTAACCATGGTTAAAAGCGGTGATAGATTTCTATCTCGTTTGGTAGCGGCTGCTAGGAAGTTGACGTCCATTACTTTCCGTAAGTTCTTCCGGAACATTGGGGTGTCTTCTTCTTCGATAGTGGCGATTGTTTGACTTTCTGTGTCTTGTTGTGTAGATTGACTGTTTCCGGCTTGGCATTCTGTGTCCTGTGATTGTTTGACATCATCCAGTGTCTGGCAAATTGCATCAGTCTTTTCATTCTCAATTCTGTTGAATGTGAGGCTTTCTTTTGAGGGTATGACCTGATGTGATACGTCACTGAATGTTAGTTCTGGCGGTGGTGGTTTAGATAGGAGGGCGTTAAAAGATGCGTAATTGATGGGCGAAAACGTTAGTTGAGTTTGAGCGGAATTATGAGATTTTCTTGTTATGCGACGAAAAGGAGGTAATGACATGCCTTGTTGCAGTTGTCGATTCATTTCTTTTTGTTCGTTGAAATTATGAGTGGAGTTAAATTGAGAGCGACTTGTTTTTGGCAATTGACTACGAAGAGTGAACGCAGTTTGTGTTTGAACCGAAATTGAACGTGCGAAGTTTTCGTTCCGGTCGAGCTTTTTGGTGCCTAGATAATTACTTGTTTTGACATTATTCCAAACGGAGTTTATACTACTGCTATCTTGGAATTCTACGCATTTCACCAAATCATCTATAAGTGCGACTACGAAGTTTTCGTCCCAGTACGCCGGGGGTTGCGGTTTTCCGACCGGGTGTCGCGAGATGTAGTCAATAAGACCCATTTTACTACCGGCTAGGTGGTGTATATCGAAATCGAATGGAATGAGACGATCAATCCATCTAGTTAACCTACTCTGATAGGTTTTATTGCCCCTATTACTCTGTAAGGCACTAACTAGTGCTTGATGGTCTGTTATTAAGGTAAAACGTCTACCGTAAAGATAGTACTTGAAGTGTTCAATAGCCCATACTGCGGCCAAAAGTTCGAGTTCATTTACCGAGTATTTCTGTTCGCATGAATTGAGAA